CCCACCTCCCCACACCCACCCCCACCACCACCACCACCACTACCACTAACCCCCGTCTTGCTGCCACTGTAACCCTGTGTACAGCACATGAAAACCAAGGCATGTTAAGTCCAGTACACATTTACAAAAATCCAATACTATAATCTTAATTATAAATTACTGTCGTCAATCTTCATTACGTTCCCTTTGGCAGATCCCCCAACCCTATGTATGTACATGGACATGTACCGGGGGCATAATCTCGATATGCATTTTGATTAGCAAGCAGTGGTCTAACCCTGACCGGATGTGGCCTGTTTCTTACCATCTGATATCACAGCCCCACAAGAATACTATACAAAAGCTCTAATTTCTATGAGATGATTTACACTGTGTCGTTTTCAATATTTCTGTGACAGACTGCCAGCGCCCCCTGTGGTCAGATAGTACTTGTTTATAGAGTCTAAACGATGACGTATGTAAAACAGCACCAGAACTGGTTTAATACCAACCGCAAAGTGACAGTTCATTGAACTAAATATTTCCCATTGAATAGAAATTAGACTTACTATATTCTGGTCTGCCGTTACAGTCAACATTGGCGGCCATCTTGCATTCTCCGGTGTTCTCGTCGTACCTCAGTTCTCCGGGACAGGAGAAGTTCACTGTGGAGTTGAGGCAGTGGAGGACAAAGCCTCCACAGTTGGTGTCGTCCTGAGAAAACGTGCAACTGCCATTACCCACTGAAAAAAAGTAAAAATTTGGGAATTGTTCGACTTGGTTCTGATTGTAATATAATTCAAGTGTGTACGAGAAGTGAGACCCATTTGTCCCATTCATTTAGAGGTGATTCCTTTTCCCCTTCGTCACCCAGCCCCTTACAAAAAAAAATCACGAGATCAGACCAGTCTACATTTCATTCCCTGTGGCCTACCAAAGTTCATATTAATATATTACAGTGCAGTTGACCTCGGCTTTCAGTTCATACCGTAGCTCCCCCTTTCCCAAAACCCCGAATCCAGTGGTGTGCTGACCACCCTCCGATATCGGGAACCTCTATAATAGGATACACAATTAAAGTGCGGTGGCCCCTGTGTTCAGAGACTAAGTACTGCGGCGCCACGGTTCAGAGACTAATTATTGCGGCCCCTGTGTTCAGATACTAAGTACTGCGGCCCCTGTGTTCAGATACTAAGAACTGCGGCCCCTGTGTTCAGAGACTAAGTACTGCAGCACCTGTGTTCAGAGACTA